CCCGCGCTGTCTTCGACCCTTTGCCTTTTACCTTTCTTTTAGTGGAGTTTTTTTACGGTGTTTTTCTTGTTTTTCCCCCGTTCCCTGCCAGGACTGGGAGCAGGACCCGCGCCCCTGGAACTGCTATGCCAACTGAACTCCGCCGGGCCGTGAGAATGCACGCCATCTCCGACCTGCACTCCTCCCTCACCCTGCGGCTCCTCAACAAGGGGCCCGAGTACCTCCGCAGGCAGATGGAGGCCGGCAACCCCGGCAGGGAAAGGTAGCCGATAAGGCCAAGTACGTAAAAAGCCAGCGGGTAATCAGCACCACGCAGGAGCCCGTCATCGTGCTGAGCTCAGCCTCGGAGAGCAGCAGCGAGACCTGCTCGGTGGAGAGCAAGAAACCCAGCAGGGACTTTGGGAGAGGGAAGGGCGCGAAGCCACTGGAGCTGGCGAAGGCGGTGTACTCCTGCCGGGCCCCGCTGCAGCACGGCCCCCCCATAGCCAGACGCAGCACCCCCAGGAGGCAGATGCGGCCAGACTCCCTGGTGATTTACCGCCAGAAATGCGAGTTCGGGAAAGGTCAAAGCCAGGACAGCTCACGGGGGAGCTTGGTGAGGAGGATCTTCCAAGGGTCTGTAAAGGAGAAGCAGCTGGCTTCCCCTGAGATGCCCAGAGTCATGGAGGACACCACAGCCACCGAGAGCAAAGAGCCTCTCTCAGCAAAAGACAGTGACCATGAGCTGAGCAACTATGGAGTGGAGCAAGCCATCACTGTGAGCACCGAAGCACCAGGGGTATGTACAAAAGAGCATGAGAGACCCCCAAAACTGAGTATACCTCCCGAGGAGGTCAAGGAGGTGAAGAGGAGAGGTCTCCATCGCTCCCAGTCAGACATCAGCTCTCGCTACTCCAAGTCCTTCTCGGAGTTTGATACATTTTTCAAGTACTGTGGCCTGGATCAGGAGGTCATCGAGGATCTCGGGAGAGAGAACTTCTCAGTGGTGTCCGACAACGTCTCCTTCAAGATCCGCAGCATCAGCGTGGCAACGTCCGAGAGCGACTTCACGAGGCACAGCGGAGACGAGGGGCTGCTGGAGGATGAACTCACAGAGCAGGTCCCGAGCAGCACCTCCGTGATTGAGCGCAACGCTCGGATAATCAAATGGCTGTACACGTGTAAGAAAGCCAAGGAGGCTAACAAAGTGATCCAGGAACTGGCATGATGGCTTCTTCCAGCGTGCATTGCAGCCTAAAGGTGTGTGCAAAGCCTCACCCTATTGATTTATGTATTTCTTTTTCCTCTTTAGCGAGCAGTTGGCTTTTCTTGGTTTATTTTAGTCTTTGTGAAGGCTGAAGGAAATTGTTTTGTATACAATGTATTCCAGTACAGCCTTTTTGCAAAGCAGAAATACTTGTTGTTACAAAATACAAACAAATACATGTGTGCAGCTTGCCAAGTTTACATCAGACCCCCCACATGAAATTAAAGAGCCAAGTGTCTATGAGGGATGTCTGTCTTTTGCAGATTCCTGCTTTGTAAATAGCTTGTTTTCTCCGATTTCTGCTCTGTTAAATGGTAGAAAAAAAAACTTAGAAGAATATTCAACCCTTAATTACAGTTGCTTAGCTAGCAGACAGAACTGAAACTATTACTAATTAGGCGTACACTGTATTCACACTACACTGCTACTGTTTTCCCCTCCTTAACATGCCCACCTATTGTCTTGGTATTGCAAGAAGGATGAAAGAGACATTAAATCATTTTTCTTTTTTAGGAAAGCGATGGGGTCACAAAGCAAGAAAATATTTCAGCCTCTCATTTCCTTTCCACATAAGCAGTTACAATGTTAAGAGACAAGCCTTTCCCCTTTACACACAGGCACCCCAAAGTATCAGGAAGGCAAAGTAGAGTCGGTGCTCCTGCTAGCAGTCTTATTTCTTCCTCAGCTTTCTGTTGGGACCATAAAAGTTTGCTCCAGGTGAAATGCTCCCGTGCATTCACAGGCTTTTGTTTTCTGTCCTGTTTGCCTATAGTGGATTTGGCTCCTCTGCAGTGGGTTTTGCCGTGCGTTTTGGCACCAGTAGCTGGAAATCGGTTGTGCTGTTTGCCTTGGTTAGAGGGATACTTCACTGTTCTGAACTAGAGATAATTAATACAAGTGTGTGGCATCTAGGCTTGGAAATCAATTACTTCACAGGCAGAAGCAGAACAAACATAGCCCTGGTGAAAGCCGATATCCTGGTTATAATAAAAGCGGTGTTTATTCTCAATCTGATCTCCTGAAAAAGAACTGTATTCATGGAGCCTATGTTATTGATGATCTAGAAGATAACAGTTTTTTTCTCCTTCCAATATGTGAAGCCCTTAGGATAAGTACCGCAAATCACAGTGTAGCATTTAAAAATTGCATGAGTAGGTCTTGATATGAAGGATTCTGACAGTTCGTAACTGGTGCGTAAGAAGAACATCATTTAGTGTAGATACAGCTGTTGATAGAGCTTGTGGGCCTTATGAATATGGAGAAATGTAGTGCTTGAGCCTCTTTCCTATGTGGATGTGGGGCTGTCACTCCTGATTCTTTTAATCTATATAATGCAAAAATCCATGTACTTACTTTAAATCGGTTTTAATTATGTGAAATTTGGATCACATTTAAAAATGGATTTTTTTCTCAAATGCCTGTTTTCTTCCTGCAAGTTGAGGGAAGAGAAAGGGGGGCAGGGAGAGCCATTTTCACACAAACATTTCAAGCCCTTGTAGATAAGAAGGGTTGTCAGGTACCCAGCTGACAGCTTAAAGAAACGCTGTTATGTAACAGATCCTTTCCCAAATTGCCTTGGAGAGAAGACAGGGCTTTCCTGAAGTTAATAATTTCTCCTTACTCATCCTTCTTTGATAAAGGGCCAGGGAGATACAGAAAACAAAACAATGTAGGTGGCAGTTTGTGAAGTTTGTTGCTCGTTGCAGCTGCTGGCCTTGCTAAATGCACAGGATGGGAGGCAGATTTCACCACAAGCAGAAACCATGTAACAGAACCAACCATATTTCCTTGAAGGAAAACAAAATAAAAGCCTGTTTGCTCCTGAATGCCCTTGCTGAGCATGGGATCCAGGCTAGAACCATAGTTGCCACCTCACAGCCTGCTCAGGAGGGAGCAGTTGGCCCTTTCCCCATCCATTTGCACAGTGCTAAGTGTGTCCAATGCTGCAGCTGAGACAGGGGATGCTGGTGACCACCCCAGGGAGCATGCAGTCTGCAGAGGAGGTGCTTCACCAGGGCATTTGCTGGGCAGAATTTAAGCTGAGAGTTGTTATCACCATGTGATTTCAGGATGAGTCCTGTAACTCTGATCGAATGTTCATCTTTTCTTTCAGCCCTACTTACTCTGACAATGCAGCATCTAGTTAAACATCATGTGTTGTCACTAAATCTATGTATATGGCTCTGCTTAGTTTGCTTACTGTTTATTTATGGGCAGTGGACTCCTGTGCTGCATGGGGTAGCAATGTGCCTCACTTTCCCAGGGACATCCGTGAAGGTTCCTCATTTTACACAGAGGCTTGAAAATTGTTGCACCGTCGTTGGAAAAAAAGACAGAAACCTGTTTTCTAAAATCCAGCCTTCATTATGTGTAAAACATCTTTCAAGAACTGCAGGGCTTTTATGGGCCAATGATAGTTCCATTCATATTTTATGTTTTCCAATTAATTTTTCATAAGCTCTCTGGGACCTGGTGAGGCACCGTGTAAATAAAACAGCTATTTGAAGGATCAGGTTCCCTAACACATTTCATCAGAGTGATAATTGCAGAGCTTCAGAAAACCAAGGTCCTCTGTGAGATGGGCATTGCTGCTCCTCGGTGGGATGTTGCCTGGATTCACCTCTGCAGTTTAGCACCTCTCTGTGTCAGTTCCTCTGTCTCTGAGAAGGGGGCTCACTCTGTGTCCTTCTTCCTGGGTTGAATCAAGATTATTCAGCCTCGAGTTTCAGTACCTTTCTTATATGGATGTTCATTATTCAAGTGGAAATCTCCTGGCAGGGGAATTTACTATGTTGGCAATAGCCATAAGCAGCTGAATAAAAGCTTTAGAGCACCACCTTATGCTTCTCTGATGTGATAAACAATAAATGACACTTTTTTTTCTCTTTCTTCAGAATCCTTGACTTGGAAGTTGAACAAAACCAGACATAGGAAGAAACTCTTCCCTCATCTGGCTCATGAATGCTTTGTCCAAGTTTCGTATTTCATTATTGCCTCCTACCCTCACCCCCCTTCCTCTTACCAGAAACACAGGAGCTTCTAAGGGCACAATGACAAGCGGAGATTGTGAACTGTGCCCCAGCAAGGCAGCGGGAAATGAGAGCTCCTGTAAAACCAAAGTGTGGCAGCAGCTGCCATACACAATAACATTCAGTATCAGCTCACTGCCCCAGGATGCCAGTCTGGGCTGTGATAGAAGGTCTGTGTTGTGCATCCATCTCTTTCCAGCAATGAATTTGTCAACAGCGATGGGGGGAGAAAGTGGGAATGAAGTGGCAATGACCTCTGGGTCAGGCGTTTTCTTACAGGCAGACAGGCTCCACCCCGATGTTCAAAGGCTCTGTCTTGCCAGGGCTGTTTGACCAGGGCTCATCCTGATATCACTAGCCATTTGTTTGGCTGGTGAGGACTAACTGTGGCAGCTTTATCTGGGATACTTGGCAAACACCTTGTAAGCTAAATCCCTGCCAATCCTCTCTTTCTCTGAGAGTATTCAAGCCAAACTGGAGTACCTTGTATCCATCTAGTTTGCTCTGTCACACAGCTTGCTCAAGCCAGTGGGGAGTAGCCTTTAAAACCCTGCCCAAAATATTTCAGGAGCAGGTTTCCAAGAAACAGGTAGTTAAAAATAAGGGAGGGTTTTGCATTGTTACTGCCTTGCTGCAGTACAGTTGCTACAATTCACACGTACACAGGCTTCTCCGCTTTGTTTGCAATATGTCTCCAACTCTGACATTGCAAACATTGCAAGGTTTGGCAGGTTGTGGTTTAGCACATTTAATTTTATGCACTGTGAGTGAGCAGTGGGCTTAGGAAACTGCATTCCAGGCTATGTAAGGCCACAGTTCCCTAGCATGGGTCTGGAGTAGGGGCTGTGCTTGGGATGTGCAGGACAGCTTCCCTGCGCTGCAAGGCAAGAAGTCGTGTTAGGGCACAGCAGTGCCAGCTAAATGTCCTGATGGAGTGGAATGCCTAGTGTAGACAGCACCTTACTCACTATCATCAGTAAAATGCGTCATTTGGACTGGCTGAGCTAAATGTGTTTTAAAAGCTGATAAAAAGTACTTTAGATCATCAGTGTAGTGAATGAGGCCTCTACAATAACTCATGGAATTTGCTGGCAGTGCCTCAGAGATTTACCTCAATCTGTCATTGCTTGCTAAAAAATGTCTTGCACCAAAGCATTTCTTTGTGGACACTGCAAACCACACAAAAATGCAACCCCCTTCTCTCCCCAGAAAAGAAAGAGTCAAAGCCAAATCCAGTTCCCCTTTCAGTTGCACCAATGCCCCTCTATGATCTCTGCACGGCTGGCATAACAGTGACTTGACCTGAGGGGTCCTGCAGAGGTTAAACGTTTACTTTGTGTTACCATGGATGTGGAGTCCTGGAGCCTGACTTACCTGGCTGCCAAATCTGCAGTGTGAGGAGTCCAGAAACACCAACTTTCATTCTCCACATTCCTCCTGCCTGCACCATGGCAGCTCCCACCACTGCCTCTCCTGACCTAAAACAGCTGTTGGCACAGCTGGGTGAATACCAACCTCAAGTGAGCACTCGAGCTGTGTTTCTTAAGTGTTTTCCACTGTCAGTAAATACATCTGGAGGAGCAGAAAGGGCGAGGGTAAGCATCAGGGTAGGAGTAACCTATGCCAACGTTGCACACTGGAAGAGTTGCCCTTGAGGTGCTCATCACGCGGTTTAGTCGATATCAGTTAAATTCACAGCAAAATCGTCTGGGTTCCATTTTTATATCTGTTAAATGTACTTGTCAGTTCTCAGTTGCAGACATGGTCTGGGAATGCAGGGCATTTGTCTTCATTTTCTAGTGTTATGTACTAAGGTCTACATGTCTGAAGTTGTTGAGATGGATGGATAACAATTCCAGATAAAATAATTGTTGAACCTGCTTTCCACTTGGGAGAAAACTAAATAGTTTACATGAGTGAGCTTCTGCAAAC